ACCTGACAATGAAACTGAAAATGCAGCGCGAAGCACTTGCCTTGTGATAACAGAGGAAAGCTATGGCGGAAATACAGTTTCGTTTTCGAGAAACACTTTCCTCGGTAAATTTATCACTTCTTCTTATGAAAAATAAATTCGATGCTAAATTATTTTCCAGCGATATGGAAATTTCTTGAATATCTAGCTAGCCAAACAAATAAGCCGCCTCTCTTCTTATAACCAAATTGATTCCACGCTCTTAACAAACATCGCAATAAATGATCATCGATGCTGAACTTAAAAAAAGGTAAGCAATCCAAAGAAAAACACCCGAAAACGACGGTTTCCCGATTTATTTTCGAAATTCCTGCGTGTTAAAATATTTAAGATTCGCAAATTACAATTAGCCCACATCGATCTGGCCTAGTGAAATATTTTTGCATTTTAGCGCACTTTCGTTTTCATTTCTTCGCGATCGATCAGTTGGTTTAGTGAATCGTTTGCGCTCTTTGAAAGAAATGGAACCAACATCATACTTTTAGTTGAAGTAGGATTAAGCCTAGAGGAAAATGCAAACATTTAATCAATCTTAAACCATTCCTATTTTCCTAAGGCGCGACGAAAACTCTAATAAGACTCGGAAGGAAATTGCTATCAGATCGAGGCACATCAATCTAACTTAAAACAATGTTTGCCTATGCAAGGTACCAGTATTTAAAGCATCAAAGCACAGTTTCGCAGGTGAACCCAGGGCTTCAAGAAAACTCACCTCATTTGTGCAAGTTACTTCGGAGGTCGTGTTCAGAGGTAGTAAAGCAACCTATAGTGAGTGCCGATCACCTTCTTCCTATAAAAGCCCTCAGTACTTTTTATCAGCACCAATTGCAACGGTAGGTACGTGGTGTAAGCATCATATAGTGGTTCCCCGTTAATTAATATACAGTGTACATTGCTCTACATAGTTTTACATAGCCATACACAGCCCTACATAGCCCTACATAGCCATACACAGCCATACTCAGCCCTACACATCCGTACATAGCCATACATAGCCCTACATAGCCCTACATAGCCCTACATAGCCAAACATAGCCCTACATAGCCACACATAGCCATACACTGCCCTACATAGCCCTACATAGCTCTACATAGCCATACACAGCCCTGCATAGCCCTAGATAGGCATACACAGCCCTACATACCTTTACATAGCCCTACATAGCCATAAATAGCCGTACATAGCTGTACATAGCCATACACAGCACTACATAGTCCTACGTAGCCCTACATAGCCATACATAGCCCTACATAGCCACACAGAGCCATACGCAGCCATACACAGCCCTACATAGCCCTACAAGGCCATACATAGCCCTACATAGGCATACACAGCCCTACATAGCCCTACATAGCCATACATAGCCGTACATAGCCGTACATAGACACAGCACTACATATCCCTACATAATCCTTACATAGCCACACATAGCCATACACAGCCCTACATAGTCCTACATGGCCCTACATAGCCATACATTGCCCTTTGTACCCATAAATAGCCGTACATAGCCATACACAACACTACATATATAGCCCTACATAACCCTACATAGCCCTACATAGCCATACACAGTCCTACATAGTCCTACATGACCCTACATAACCATACATAGCCATACACAGCCCTACATAGTCCTACATAGCCCTACATAGCCATACACAGCCGTACACAGCCCTACACAGCTCTACATAGCCATACATAGCCCTACATAGGTATACACAGCCCTACATAGTCCTCCATAGCCCTACATAGCAATACATAGTCATACACAGCCCTACATAGCCATACATAGTCATACACAGCCCTACATAGCCATACATAGCCATACACAGCCATACATACCCCTACATAGCTTTAAATAGCCCTACACAGCTATAAATATCCCTACATAGCCCTGCATAGCCATACACAGCCCTATATAGGCCTACATAGCCATACACAGCCATACCAAGCCATACACAGCCTTACATAGCCCTACGTAGCCATACATAGCCTTACATTGCCCTACATAGCCCTACATAGCCATACATAGCTTTCAATAGGTTTACACAGCCATACACAACCCTACATAGCTTTACATAGCCCTACACAGCCATACATAGCCCTATATAGCCCTACATTGCCATACACAGCCTTATATTGGCCTACATAGTCCTACGTAGCCATACACAGCCATACATAGCCCTACGTAGCCATACATAGCCCTACATAGTCCTACATAGCTCTACACAGCCATACATAGCTCTACATAGCCCTACATAGCCATGCACAGCTCTACATAGGCCTACATAGCCCTACATAGCCATACACAGCCATACACAGCCCTACATTGCCCTACGTAGCCATACATAGCCCTTTATTGCCCTACATAGCCCCACATAACCATACATATCCCTACATAACCATACACAGCCCTACATAGCCACACATAGCCATACACAGCCATACAAAGCCCTACATAGCTTTGCATAGCCCTACACTGGCATACGTAGCCCTACATAGCCATACACAGCTCTACATAGGCCTACATAGTCCTACATAGCCATACACAGCCATACACTGCCCCACATAGCCCTACGTAGCCATACACAGCCCTACATAGCCCTACATAGCTCTACATAGCCCTACATTTCCGTACATAGCCCGTTATAGCCCTACATAGCCATACATAGCCTTTCACAGCCCTACATTGCCCTAGATAGCTCTACATAGCCATACTTGCCCAAGCACCCTTAGATACAATGTGCGAGCCAATCTTGCAGCCGATGAAGAGTTTAAGAGAGAGGTCAGCTCGATAAGGAAGAGAGCGGAGGGTTTTGACTCGACTGAAGACAGGAAATTTCAGTAAATTTAGATAGATCATTATGACATGAAAGGTCAATTACAGCTTGTGACCTGACAATGAAACTGAAAATGCAGCGCGAAGCACTTGCCTTGTGATAACAGAGGAAAGCTATGGCGGAAATACAGTTTCGTTTTCGAGAAACACTTTCCTCGTTAAGTTTATCAATTCTTCTCATGAAAAATAAATTCGATGCTAAATTATTTTCCAGCGATATGGAAATTTCTTGAATATCTAGCTAGCCAAACAAATTAGCCGCCTCTCTTATTATAACCAAATTGATTCCACGCTCTTAACAAACATCGCAATAAATGATCATCGATGCTGAACTTAAAAAAGGTATGCAATCCAAAGAAAAACACCCGAAAACGACGGTTTCCCGATTTGTTTTGGAATTTCCTGCGAGTTAAAATATTTAAGATTCGCAAATTACAATTAACCCACATCGATCTGGCCTAGTGAAATATTTTTGCATTTTAGTGCACTTTCGTTTTCATTTCTTCGCGATCGATCAGTTGGTTTAGTGAATCGTTTGCGCTCTTTGAAAGAAATGGAACCAACATCATACTTTTAGTTGAAGTAGGATTAAGCCTAGAGGAAAATGCAAACATTTAATCAATCTTAAACCATTCCTATTTTCCTAAGGCGCGACGAAAACTCTAATAAGACTCGGAAGGAAATTGCTATCAGATCGAGGCACATCAATCTAACTTAAAACAATGTTTGCCTATGCAAGGTACCAGTATTTAAAGCATCAAAGCACAGTTTCGCAGGTGAACCCAGGGCTTCAAGAAAACTCACCTCATTTGTGCAAGTTACTTCGGAGGTCGTGTTCAGAGGTAGTAAAGCGAACTAGTGAGTGCCGATCACCTTCTCCCTATAAAAGCCCTCAGTACTTTTGATCTGCACCAATTGCAACGGTAGGTACGTGGTGTAAGCATCATATAGTGGTTCCCCGTTAATTAATATACAGTGTACATTGCTCTACATAGCTTTACATAGCCATACACAGCCCTACATAGCTCTACATAGCCATACACAGCCATACTCAGCCCTACATATCCGCACATAGCCATACATAGCCCTACATAGCCCTACATAGCCCTACATAATCCTACATAGCCATACACAGCCCTACATAGTCCTACATGGCCCTACATAGCCATACATAGCCCTACATGATTTCCTATTCAAGGAATGAACTATTCAAGATTCGACGCGTTTCTCACTGTTCGCCTTCGGAACGGATTTTTGCCGATTTGAGGCGAGCTGGCCTGCTCCATTTAAGAGGATGTAGGGCTGGACGAAGGGATTTCATTCATGGAATCAAAGTGATTCCATCGAATCGATCTGAAGTTGTTGGGCCTCGTTACGCTCCGGAGCACGCGGAGGGAGTGAGCAAAAACAACCTTATTTCCATCCCCCGTGCTCCCCAACTGTTGAATCACCAGCAACGCCAACAACCTCTGAAATTTGTCCTTTTGAATGCTCGCTCAATCCGCATGAAGACTTTGTTATTGAGGGATTACATTGTAGAACATGATATCGATTTATTCGCCATCACTGAGACGTGGCTCACTGATGATTCTTTGGACGAATTCTACTGTCGTGACATTTGTCCTGAAGGGTATAACATTGAGCAGTTACCAAGGAATTATGCTGACGGTGGTGGAGTTGCTCTAGTTTACAGGAGATGTCTTAAGGTCAAGAGGGATCCACAGGAGTTTTGAACTCATTAATATTCATATTACATCAGTTTACAATCATAATCTTAGGCTTGTCGTTATTTACCGAGCTCAACCTAGTCCTGGGAATGGATTCACGGTCAGAATGTTTTTGGAGGAGTTTAGTTCTTTTCTGGAGGGACTTGTTTCGACTACTAGTGCCCTGTTAGTCGCTGGCGACTTTAATTTTCATATTGACGAGCCTAATGATTGCGATGCTCGACGATTCTTACAAGTCCTGGAATCGTTTGATTTGATCCAGCACGTCTCTGAAGCGACTCATAAGAAAGGTCACATACTCGATTTGATTATAACGAGAGCTCATGAGAAATTAGTTGGCCGCTGTACTGTGGACAATCCTTTTGTCTCGGATCATCTTGCTGTACACAGT